TTGTAACGTAAGTTTTACCCAGCTCTCTTCATTTTTAGTCGGAATTTGAACATTTTGGCAGCTTGAAGAAATTGATAAAATGTTTAAGAAACTGCTGTTTTGATTGAATGCGGTTGTTCAGACCAAGCTTAAGCGCACAAAAATATTATCTGGGTTTGAATGACTTGTAGGGACCTTAAACACGAAGGCGCGCTATAAAAGGAGCCTTAGGTCCCACTGGACCATTTGTCAATCAACCGTCGTGTGATGTAGAACTCTTAGAGTCAAGTCAGCTTGAGCTACAGCTACTCCAAAGCAGTGAACAGCGGGCGCATTCCTCAAAATTGTTTTATGTCTTCATCACAATACAAGAATTTTTGAGATTTGTATTTCCTTTCTCCAATGGAAACTGTCTTTATTTGTGGCGGTAAATTTGAGATCGAAGTAGGTGGTTCGCACGTTACCTCATGCCACCATGCTGGTGGAAGTAAACAATAAATATCTCATTAGCTCCTTTTGTTCGTCTACCAGCATTTAAATTTGACCCGCACACGTCAACGGTGATTGACAAATGAGCCTAGGTCTTCCCAGGGAAGACTTCCTTATATAGCGCGCCTTCGTGTTTAAAGTCCCTATTAAGACATTAGGAGCCGAGCCAAGTTAGGGCCTGATTACATGAGCCGGGCTGGCCCAGTTAGCAGGGCTGATTTCTTTTGTTTTCACGGTTTGGCGAACACCAAAACAAAAGAAATCAGCCCGGCTAACAGGGCCAGCCCGGCTCATGTAATCAGGCCCTTAGTCACTTTGTGTACCACGAGATTAGTGTAGGATTATTAACGATAAGATGACGAAGAAGGGGACGAGGAAGATTGATCAGTCAATTAAGTCAGACAAATACAATGGAATGTATATTTCTACCACTCCTTAAATCAGCCATTCACTGCAAAGTCCACGTTACAATAAACCCATTTTTCGTTGAAAATGTAACTGACAGCGTATACTGCTATAGTATTCAAGATAAGAAGTTTCACGGTGAATTTGAAATACAAATTTACTTTTACACACAATTACACATGAACAAGGTGGGTGAACAACCTGGAAATCTTCAACGTACCGAGGACAAAGAATAAAAATTCTGTAATTCAATACACCCAAATTGTCCTTTGTAACGAGGGCAGACGAATGCAAACTTTCGTTTTGAATGCAAAAATTGTCCGCAATGAATCACAAAAAAGTCGGAAGTCGGAGTTGTTTTAAGTAATTTCGTTGTAGTTTTAACCAAGGATTTTTCTTCTGTCTGTAACAGTAAGGTGTTCAGATGGCGAGAGACAACTTAACATGATATTCACCAACTCAATAGTACGGAAGGAATAAAAATTATTCGGTGATATCGACCAACACTTACTCGAATGTTAACTCCCTCTGTTTTGAGCACCACATTATCATTATTTTCAATTAAAAAGCATCGATTTATGTGCGGCGTTTCATAGACAACACTCTGTTGAGAGAACAAGACTAACATCAGAATATAACGTCAGAATAGCTGAGCTACATTACAGTCATCTCAGAGTAATTGGATCAAGAAAACGTCACTTCCACCCTCAGCCTTCAACGTTCTTTACATGATGTCAGGGTTCTTTGGAGCTAAAACACTGGTATCCCCTTACAACTATAGGATTACTTAGGTAATTTGTTAACTTCTCTCCACCATCTTTTCATCTCGTCTAGTGAGGGCACAGAGAGAAAATGTGGCCAACAACCCTGCTAAGTCTATGACTACTTCCTCCGTGGCAAAAACCTCACTACTAAAGCATCGTGACGTACAAGAAAGTCTTTCTACTCCCCTGGCCGTATAAGGTATCCCCTCCACACCACACTTGTTACTAAACTGAACGATTCCCAAAACAACTCATAGGTAAGGTAATCCGCACTTGCGAATACAAATTTCCTGAATTTTTCAACGTACCTTATGAGCGAGTTTCTCAATCAGAGAAGACAGTTGGATCTTAAAATTATGAGCAGGAAACTACAAAAAATAAGATTCTAAATATCAGTAGCATGAAGGTATCCTGATGAAGTCCTTTTCTTTGAAGTCAATGGCATGACCAATAAACTCCAGGTAATTGGCGATTTGCTCTAGGTATCCTTTGAGAATAAACATTTTTTTTCCCAAATGTAACGTTCGCATTTCAAAACTTTCACTAGCTTACTAAAACCGAGACAGACCGCGTATGGATATCTGAGTATTCATCGAATACACCAGAAACACAAGAAAACGCTAACATACCTTCAAGGACACTTCACACCATTCCTCTTTTGTGACATCGTAGGAATAACCCCCAATGTGATTGTCACTTTCCAAAACACGCTACGGATAAATCGAAGAGATGATGATTAGTTCAATTGAAAATCACAAAAGCGTCTTTTGCGCTTAAAGACCTGTGGGCTTGTGTTTCGACATAGCAACTTAGCATAGCAACTTTTCGGCTTAGCAACTCACCGACGTTAAGAGCTTCGATATAGTGGTTCTCCATAGAGATATTTGCTTTTGCAAGTAGAAAATAATAATCAAAAGAAACGGGATTGAAGATAATTGGGACGCTAATCAGAATAATTGGGTGTGAATGTTTGCGGCGCACGCATGTGCGGTATTGGCAATTTTTTAAAATAATAATTAATACTTTCATTCTCTCTAAATTTGTTGGACGTGGCTCAAAATGTCAATAAATCATTGTTTCCTCATTTTTGTTTTAGCCTCAGGCTGGGTAGCAAAAGTAAGGATTTAGCTTAAACAGAATTCCAGGTTTGAGGGCTCGCAAGTATAAAACACTCACAAAGACCTGATCTCAGCAGATTACCTGTATTCGCGCCTCATCGGACTTCTTTGATTTCCGTTTGCCTTTACTTCCATCATACACCCATTGTTCTTCTTCATCTATTTGGAAACAGAAATAGGCGTAGGAATTCAAAATTCCATTTTGGCAAACAGTCCACATTACTACTTTTAAACTTTTCCAGATATCAAACACACTTAACAAATAACCGTAATTTTCCACGCATGCAGTGACAACTTTTCCCGCGGCTGAAAATCCTTGTAAAGCACGGCACTTTACATAATAAATATACAATCTACCAAATTCTTCCTCTCCCCCGCGACTTGTCTAACGGCATACAGTGACTGGATATTAACCGGCTAAAATTGTGAATATTCTTGAAAAGATAGTCCCCTCTGGATAATAGAGTGATATTCTTCAAATGATAGTCCCCTATATATATATATATAGAAAGTTTAAAAAATTGCGAGGATGGACAACTTCTGACGTAAAAAATTTTATTAGAAAACGTTTCGGTCAGAGACCTTCTTCAGTTATAGATCGTTTTCACGTGACGTCACATCATTTCCGGTCGCCA